TTTGGCGGGCCGGGGCTGGATTGAAACCCACCACCTTAGGTGTATGTGGCTGGCGCCTTAGCCACTTGAGCCACAGGCGCCGAGCGAAGACATAACATTCCTAGACTCAAGCACAGTGAATACTAAACATAGGGAGGTGAAGATGCAGGCATACACCCAGGCACACCACATGGAGGCAGAACCCAGGACACCGAAGACAGGAGAAGACTGTAAAATTAGCAGAGAGAAAATGGAGTACCCAGAAATGATCAGACCTTTGGCAACAATAAGAGCCAAAAGAGAGCCAGGAGCAGTGGCTCACTCCTGTAATTCTGACACTTTGGGAGGCCGAGGTGGGTGGATTGCCTAAGCTCCAGAGTTCAAGACCAGCCTGAGCCAGAGTAGCCTGAGCCAGAGTGAAACCCCATCTCTAAAAATAGCCAGCCTTTGTGGCAGATGCCTGTAATCCCAGCTACTTGGGAGGCTGGGGCAAAAGGATCACTTGACCCCAAGAGTTTGAGGTTGCTGTGAGCTATGACACTACGGCACTCTACCGAGAGGGATAAAGTAAGATTCTATCTCCAACAACAAAAAAAGCCAAAAGAAAAGAGATTACCAGGCTTGGCACCGGTAGCTCAGTGGTTAGGGCACCAACCACGTACACCAGGGTTGGCAGTTTCAAACCTGGCCCAGTCCTGCTAAACAACAATGACAAATACAACCAAAAAACAGTCAGGTGTTGTGGCAGGCGCCTTGTAGTCCTAGCTACCAGGGAAGCTGAGGCAAGAGAATCGCTTAAGCTCAAGAGTTTGAGGCTGCCATGAGGTGTGACAACACAGCACTCTACCAAGAGAGACATAGTGAGATTCTGTCTCAAAGAAAAAGAGATTACCACCTTCACAGTACTGAAAGAAAATTATTGCCAACCTTGAATTGTGTACCCTGCTACACTATAAAATAGTGTAGACAAAGATAATCTATTGCCAGAAACTTCTACTGAAGACATGGAGAATATACTTCACAGAGAAATAAACTGGACCCAGAGATTAAAAAAAAAAAGTAAAAAATCTGGTATACAGGCAAACCTGAATAAGCACAGATTAGAAAAATATCAAATATAATAATCACTATTTGGTGGGCATAAAAACATGGAAGAGGCTTGGCGCCTGTGGCTCTAGCAGCTAAGGTGCCAACCACATACACCTGAGTTGGCGGGTTCGAATCCAGCCCAAGCCCGCCAAACAACAATGATGGCTACAACCAAAAA